GGTGTACATCATTGTACTTCTATTTCTGCATAGATTACATCATGTTCACCACCAAAATACTAATTACAACCCATCACCACACACATGTACCCAATTATCCCTTTCACCCTCCTCCCTCCCCCCTTCCCCTCTGGTAACCACCAACCCAATCTCTGTCCCTATGTGTTTGTTTATTGTTGTTATTATCTACTACTTAATGAAGGAAATCATGCAGTATTTGACCTTCTCCCTCTGACTTATTTCACTTTGCATTATACCCTCAATGTCCATCCATGATGTCACAAATGGCTGGATTTCATCGTTTCTTATGGCTGAGTAGTATTCCATTGTGTATATATACCACAGCTTCTTTATCCATTCGTCCCTTGATGGGCACTTAGGTTGCTTCCAAGTTACAGTTGGTAAATTGATATTTAATAGTTTTCATTTCTCAGAGCCGGCCCAGTGGCATAGTGGTTGGGTTCCCGAGCTCGGCTTCAGAGGCACAAGTTCGAGGGTTCAGATTCTGGGAGCGGACCTATGCACCGTTCATCAAGCCATGCTGTGGCAGCATCCCACATACAAAACAGAGGAAGACTGGCAACAGATATTAGCTCAGGGCCAATCGTCCTCACCAAAAAAAAAAAAAAAGCAATAGTTTTCATTTCTCTTAAGAGTCTTTTTATGGAAAAATTAAATAAATGAAACATATGAAAGGATATACACCAAAATTATAACCAGTACCTGGTTGGACTGCTGATAATTGTTTTTGGTTTTTTGCTCGCTTCTCTATATTTTGTGTTGTCTTTTTTCATTCATTTAAAAAACATTTCTCTAGCATGCACATGCAGGGATGAGACAGCTGGAAGGGGCAACCCTGCAGTTCACATCTCAATTCCAGATCTTTGCTGCTCCTATCTTGTCTCCTTTGGGTTTATAAGCCAGTGTGGATTTGTTGTCATTAAATTAGGGGCTCGTCAAGGGTAATGCTGTTTTTTTATTTCTTCTTCTCCTGCTATTTCTAAATTTTCAAGATGTCCCAGCCAGGCCTAGTTTCCCCCAAATTATGAACAGAAGCTGCTTTCATCCCCCTAGGCCTCTATAAAACACCATGAGGGAATCTTGTCTTTCCTTGGTTTTGAAGCCGCTAGACAAAGATTTGAATCCAGGTTCTATTACTTATCGGCTGGTGTCTTTGAAGAAGCTTCTTAACCTCTCTGAACTGCAGTTTTGTCATCTATAAAATGGGAGAAACAATATCCGCAGGGGAGGTAGCCGTAAGGATTTGACAAGATAATGCACAGGAAGGGCTGGCACGGTGCCTGGCACACAGTAGGGCCTCAAAACGTGATTGCCGTTAACAAAAGTAGTCTTGGGAAGCACCAGAGGCTGTTCTAGGCTGGGGATGGAGCTCAGGTTGCTAACAGAAAGGTGGAATTGTTCAATCAGTAAGAACTCTGGCTCTGGCCTCTAATGAACCCGGTTCAAATCCTTGCTCCCTCTATTTGCCTTGGGCAAGTTACTACATTTCTCTGAGCCTTGGCTTCCTCATCTGTAAAATGGGCATAATAATATAACTTACCCGGGGCTGGCCCTGTGGCACAGCAGTTAAGTTCGCATGTTCCACTTCGGTGGCCCGGGGTTCCCCAGTTCAGATCCTGGGCGGGGACCTAATCACCACACATCAAGCCATGCTGAGGTGGCATCCCGTGTAGAAGAGGTACAACTCTTCAACTGTGATACACAACTATGTACCGGGGCTTTGCAGAGAAAAAAGAGAAAAAAAAAGAGGAAGATTGACAACAGATGTTAGCGTAGGGCCAATCTTCCTCAAAAAAAAAAATTATTAAAAAAATAAATAAATAATATGACTTACCTTAAGAGTGGTTCTCAAAATGTGATCCAGGGTCCTGGGAGGGCTCCCAGACCCTTTCAGGGGTCCTCAAGGTTAAAACTATTTTCATAATAGGGCTGAAATATTAATTGCCCTTTTCACTCTCATTCTCTCACAAGTATATAGAGTTTTCCAGAGGCTATTTGACATGTAATGGTGTCATTGCTCCGATGGCTAGTGGAAAGTGTGTTCATAATTTCCTGTGTTTTAATTTTTTTTCAATTTAATTTCTTTTTTTTTTTTGTAGGAAGATTGGCCCTGCACTAACATCTGTTGCCAGTCTTCCTCCTTTTTCTTTTTTCTCCCCAAAGCCCCAGTACATAATTGTACATTGTAGTTGTAGAGGTGTAGCTCTCCTAGTTCTTCTATGTGGGATGCTGCCTCAGCATGGCTTGATGAGCGGTGAGTATGTCCGTGCCCAATATCCGAACAGGCGAACCCCGGGGTAAGGAAGCAGAACCCGCGAACTTAACCGCTACACCCCCGGGGCCAGCCCCCAAATTAATTTCTAATATGGTACATCAATATATATATAACTCACATAAACAAAAGCTATTTGGGGTCCTCAATAATGTGAAGAGTTTATAGGGGACCTGAGACAAAACATTTTGAGAACCACTGCCTGACAGGGTGGTTGTAAAGATTAAGTAGCCACTGGCATATGAAGCCAAAGCACTCATAAACATTACCCTTACAATTATTGATTCCAAAGCTCCTGAATCATATCAGATAAGGGTCTGCCTACTCCACATACACATAAAGCAAACAAATCGTAGCACTTAATGCAAAAGTCACCCTTGTTTTATTCCCTGCTGTTTGTTTATATAAAGAAGGTTGGGTCCACACTAAACTTTGAACTATTTAAAGACGATGCAGCACAACAGAAACCCCCCCAGTGTCCAGGAGATCCAAGTGCCCTGAAGACATGGGAACTCAGTGGACAGTCCAGAGGGTTTACCCTGCTTGGCTCAACCCTGGCCCTTCCCACCCCATGAATCTCGCACCCAGCCAGAGGCGATGGTAAGGAGGTGGGGGCGGAGGAACCCGGACTTATAGAAAACCTCCTAAGTGACGGACCATCAGGAGGAGGTGCAGCCTCAAAATGGGAATAGCTTCCTTGACGTTTCAGTAATTTCCATGGAAACAAACTGAGAACTATACTTATTTTCAAAGAAGGCGGGAAGAGGTGGAATGACCTGGAAGAGTCAAGAGTAAGCAATATAAAAATAGTAAAGTTGGTGGGTTTTTTTTTTTTCTTTTTCTCTTCTGGCATACACTTGAGAGAAGAAGGGAAAAAAAAACCCCAGCATCCCTAAATTCTGATGTTGATGGCAAGTAGATGAGTACCCTAGACAGTAGGTATCAAATGAGTTTGAGGAAGATGTGACATGATGTGGATCATAGGCATGAAGGAAGCTCTGAACAGAATCCTTCAAAAGCCGGGTCAGTGCGTCTGTCAGGTCTGACAGTATCAGCAACAGACCCCCTCCCAGGCCAGGACCTAGTTTTATGTGCCGTTAAAAAACAGACTCTACATCAGCAATAACCGAACGAACAGGTGCAGGCCAGTAAAGAAGTTTTGCATATGGGCTATTTTTATGTTTATTGTAAAAACTTCTGGGGACCCAAGGAGTTGTGTTAGAGAAGTTGGAGGCCTAGGGGAGACCCTAAAAAAACTTTTTAGCTACTTTCTTCTCCTCGGCCTAGGAAACGAATACGCCAAAAGGTCACCCAGTGCGTCGACCACGCAGTCAGCCCGCAAGGCCAGCCGTCCCCACCCCAGTCCCCAACCTCGCCTCCGGCCGCTCCGCCGCACACGGCCACCTGTTGCCGCCCTCGCGCCCAGAGCCGAGTCGCAAACCGCCGCTAGAGTTCGTTCTAATTCCCCGGAGCAGAGGCTGGCCGGGAAGCCCCGACGCTCCGCGCCTGCAAATCCTCAGGGCGGGCGGGGATTCCGCAGAGCCTCCCAGCCCCAGGCTCCCTTTGTTTTCTCGCTGCGCTCAGAATGTCAAAAGAAGACCCCGGGCAGCACCCCCTCGCTCCCCTTGGCTCGTGCGCTCTCGCTCCCTGCTCACACCCGGGAGATGCTGACGCGTCGAGATGCCCACGGAGTGGAAACGGGTCCCGGCGGGCAGGAACGTGCGGCTCAGACAGGTTGCCCTGTGAGATTCCGAAGCGTCCCCCGGATCCCGAATGCCTCACAGCTCCTTAGCCGAGCACTGTTGCAGAAGCGCCGCGCCCAGAACGCAAGTTCACGGTCCCGGAGGCCACAGGCGAAGGGCAGCGAGATCCTGACTTTCCTTTGCTCTAAGGCGCCGGAGGGCAACCAGGGGGCTGCGGCGGTTAGAGATCCCCTCCCTCCGGGAACGTCCCAATCCCGCCTCGCTTCCGAGGGACTTCCCTGCCAGCGCCGCAGGGGTGTGCATTTCTCCGAGTCTGGGAATCCCAGCGAACGCCGGCCCGACAAGAGTTTAAGTCAGCTCCCGGGGCGTCTGTTTGTTTATTGGCTCTTAAGGAAAAAAGTTGGAGGATCTTTAAACCAACCTCAGACCTGCGCAAGCGGAAATCTCAGAATCTCCCAGCAAAGGCCATCCAATTTCAAGTCGTTATATAAGTGGGGGCTCTTTCTTAGCCTCCTTACCCCAAGCCCTCTCATTACTATGCCAGGAGTAAAATGAGTCTCGCTTTTTACAAATTTTTTTTAGTTATTATTTCCCCGAGCCCGAAGGCGGGAGAAAGCGCAGGCAGCGCCCCGGGCGCCCGGCGGCCCCACCCGCGCGCGGCCCCTGGCGCTGCGGGAGGGACGCGGGGTCCGGCAGCCGCCGGCGCAGGGCGAGCAGCCGCGCCCCGCGGTCCCCGGGTCCGCCACTCCACGTGGTCAGGATCAACAGTTTCTTGAGCTCATCAGTGACACCTTGAACTTTTCATAAAGAAAATGGGTATTGCACCGGGAGGGTTCGGCCGGGTCGTGCTTAATATTCAATGATCTCGCTCGCGCCTCCCCCTCCTCCCCTCGCAGAAATTCCACCGAGTCCGTTACTGGGTTCAGACTTTTAAGTTAATTTACTGCTCACCCACCCCCAACCTTGGCTAGTAACCAGCGCCTTGAGGGCGAGCCTCCCCCCCAGCTCCCGCCTGAAAATGACATTTCGCCGGCGTCTCCGGAGGGGGCTGAATTTCACTTTGTAACTTTCTGCGGAACCCGAGCCCGGGTGGCAGCTCGGTGGTGGTATCGTATGCAAATACGCATGCTGACGTTACAGATCATGTGGGTTTTGGCGTAGATTCCCCACTGATCGAGACATTTTTTTTTCCCCTTTTTTTCTCCTTCTTTTTTTTTTTTTTTCTTTTTAAAATTTTGGCCACTGTTCTCCGTACGGGGGCTTTTTCTGTCCGTCTGTCTGGCAGGCTGGCTGTCCCCCTCTTTCCCACGGAGCCCGAGCCGGGCGCCGGGTGGGGAGTGGGGAGTGGGGAGTGGGTGGGGGGAGCCAGCAGAGTTCCATTTTGGAACGCCCGCGCCGCGTCTCCGCGCTCCCAGCCCGGGTCCCCGCGTTCCCAGCCCCGGCGCAGGTAAGAAACTTCGCCTCGGCGCGGAGCACCCCCCGCCCGGCGCCGCCAGCCCCGAGCCCCGCACGCCGGGCGCCGGCCGCTCCAGCCCAACTTTCCCACCGCCGCCGCGGCTCCCGAAAATGTGTTCTTAATGGGACTTGGCCGGGTTTGTGATTGGAAGGGGGGGTGCGCGGGGGGGGGGGTGCGGGCTCTTTTTGCGGGTGGGAGGAAATAAGAGGATACGGGGGGGGGCGGATTTTTTTTTTTAAGAGTTTTGATTACAAGTTTGGATAAATGGGAGCCAGACCGAGGAGGAGGAGGAGGAGGAAAAACATGTCTACGTTTCCCTATGTCGACATAAGCCACAAAAAAATATGGCGTCCGCTTTCGACAGGGCGTTACGTAGACCCGACTCTGTTTTTATTTATTTATTTCGGGGCCGGCTCCCTCCCTTCTCGGCCCGACCGCGGCGCTTTGTGCACACGGGACAGGTCCCGCGGGGACTCCACCGGGACGTGGCCCCGGCTCCGCGGGGTTCGGAGGCGGGGGGCTGCGCGTGTGTGCTCCCCTCCCTCCCCCGCTCTCCCCTCTTCTCCGCGCTCCTGGTGACGCTTCGCCGTACTGTGGTGGCAGGAAGCATGACGCCGTGGGTTGAGGCTGCCGCTCCTCTCGGCGCTCCTGGTGGCTGCAGGCGGCGGGCGCGCGGCCGAGCTACCTGGCGCGGGCAGGGCCGGAGCGCGGCGCTGTCCCCACGCCCCGCTCAGGTGCCGGGGAACCCGCGTGGGGAGGGGCCGCGGGGGGCCGGGGCACCCCGGTCCTGCTGTCCGCCGCCGGCTGGCCCACGCCCCGCCTCTGCCCGCCCGAGCCCACGGCCGCCCCCGGAACGGCAGCCGGCGCTCTCCGTCCGCCCCACGCGAGGTTCATCTTTGTTGGGGGTGCAGCTGCTTTGTAGCCTCCCCGGGACTTGGTATCCCCGCCTTGGCCAACTTGCCCTTTTCCCAGCCGCTTTGCAGGAGGCTGCGGAGACGAAGAGGAGCGGAAAGTTGGAAGCCAGTGAGCATCACAGGACAGTCCCCTTGGCCTCGGAGCTGTGCGGAGCTCGGGAAGCGGAGGAGGAGGGCGGTGTGTTAGGCTGGGGAGAAAACTTGACGGAGAAGCCAAGTTGTGATTTGCTCGGGCTTCCACCTGACTGAGCGGCTTCAGAGCCAGTGGGGTCTCTGCCTTCAGCTGTGCCGCGATGGCCTTTTGTTTGTCCGTCCGGGAGGTGGGGAGCACGGAGTGGGGAATAGTGACTTTCCCTGGACCCCTCCCCTTTGAAGGAGGCGCTGCCCAGCTTGGGCCCCAGGGATCACTAAGTCTTTCAGGCCCTAGAGTTCTCCCCCGACCTGGTCTCTGATGATCACCTTCTCTCTCCAAGTGAGCACCTCCCTAGGGCTGAGACAGGCCCTGTTGGGCAGGATTTGGGAGGCAGGAATCCCTCCCCCTCATTCTTTGGGTGGCTCAGCCCTCCCACAATTACCCTCTTAAAACACCGCCTCCCCCCCCCCCGCGCACACACTTACACACACTCACACGTACACTCACTCCTTTCTGTAGAGCAGAAATTAATGCCTGTTGAAGTGAAGGGCTGAGCTTCTGAGAGCTCTTCAAGATTTCAGTCAAAAGGTGATTTTCTGTTTATGAGGGCACTGAGTTGAAGCAGTTCAGTCCCAGGGCAGTAATGTCAAAAAGCATTTGGATGACAACCAAGTGGAATAAATATCTGGTAAAATGGCATGTGTAATGGTAAAAATAGATGAATGGAGCCCTCAGGTGCTTCAATGGGACAACTATAACGGTTTGACTTAAGTTTAAGGGAAAGTTCTATAAAGCTGTATACATATCTTCTTTTAAGATGGGGAAGAAATCTACAAGCAAGATTGAAATGTGTCACCAACCATAACTGGACCCGTGGTCTGTGGGCATATTGTTGCTGTTGAAACACTCTGCCCTTTGAGTATTCTTGTGTGCACAGGTGTTCCTTCTGGCCAGGTTTGATGTCAATGAAGGATCCATCTGAAGTTAAGGGGGAAATTCAGAGACCAAGGTTTTAGGGTAAATCAGATATATTAACTAATCTCCATTTAAAGGAAAAATCAAAACGACATAGCTGTTTGTTGGCACTGAAGAAGGGTATTCCCCCGGTGTAAATGCAGTGCATCTTGACATGCCCAAAGGTGACGCCACCCCGAGTGTCTCGTCCACATCAGGGCCATGTGATTCGGTGGGATGCCGTGCATTTGACAAGAAGAAGAATGACAATGTTTGATAACGGTTGCTAACAATGACTGTTTCAGCATGCCAGGCACAATGCTGTGTATTTAACGTGCTTTATCATTTAATTCTCTCCATAACTCTATAAGTACTATTGTTATTCCCAGTTTACAGTTGAGGAAACTGAGGCCCAGAGAGGTGAAGAAATTTGCCCAAAGCCACACAGCAAAAAGCGAAGTCAGTGTTCAAAGCCAGACCTTACTGATAGCCTTAAGCACCCTATTATAGCAGCTCCTCGGCTGTTGTAGTTAGAATGAAAAGAGTCAGGAGCAAGCAGGAAAGAGGACACAGTGACCACCGCCCTGGGCTCTGAACTCATAGCAGTTTTCCTGGGTTTCATTGCTTTGTTCATTTGTTTAGCAACTATGTGTTGATTTATCTTTTCATTCAGCAACTACAATATTCATCACACTAATAAGATCCCGCAGTTATTAAGACTTTTATATGCCAGGGACTCTCAGTGCTTATGATTAAACTATTTTGTCTTTATGACAACCCTGTGGGGTAAGAACTCTCATTCTGTCCTGTTTATAGATGAGGAAGCAGAGGCACAGAGAGGTTGTCTAACTCGCCCAAGACCAAACAGCTAATAAGTGGAGTGCTGGACCTCAGAACACGCCCACTCCACATTCCAGTGCGCTGCTCCAGCCATTATGAAGATGCTGGTGGGATAGAGCCCCTCACCCTCTAGGAGTTTGAGCAGACTGGCAGGGAAACACTCATTAGGCCAAATCAAGCAGGATTAAATAAGTGTTATAATTGAGAAAAGTGACAATGAAGGGCGTAATTATTGTGCTCTGAGGGAATTGTGGAGGATTTCCCAGAGGGGTAAGCATCTGAACTGACCCATGAATGAGGAGGAACAGTGTCTGAAATTGTGTCAGATTTCATTGCATTCAGCTGTTAGCAACAGAAATCCTGCCCACCGGTGATTTCAGCAGACAGGGGCTTATCCACGTCAGACAACAAGAAGGGTGGGTGGGATGATGCCTCAGCTGTACCACTGGGAAACCAGGCTCTGTCTTGCCACTCTACCGTCCTTAGTGCATAGACCTGTGGCCCCAGGTCTGTCGTCTCCTGATGGAAAGGTGGCTGCTGCATCTCCAGGCCTCACATCTGCATTACAAGAAAGAGAAAGTAGGATGAGTGAGGCACAAAGAATATTAACCTGGTATAGCTTTACTGTTATGTTTGGGAAGGGCCACCCCTCCCAGGGACTTCTGTCTTTAGCTCGTCGACCATTGTGCCATGGTGGCCACGAAAAACTACCAGGGTGGGAGGCAATTACATATTTTTAGTTAGGCACCTTGCTGCCATGAACAAATTGGGGTCCAACTTGTTAAGGCAGAAGGGGTGAATGTTGGAACAGTTGTTGAGTTGGCAGATACAGTGTGCGTGCCTAAGATGAGAAGAGGAAGAAAGATATTCCTGATGCGGGTCAAACTGCGTCCTGGAAGCCGTGTGTGTTCTGGGGAGGTGGGGAGGGAGTGCAGGCCAGGTTGTGCAAAGAGATGACGCCAGACTTGGAGGTGGATGTGGAGGAGGTTGGCTTTTAGTCTGTAGGTACTGGGGAGCTATGGCAGGTTTCTGAGGAGGGAATGTGATGTGTTTTAGGAAGGTAAGACTGACAGCAGTGTGCCTTGTGGAGACAAATCATCCTGGTTCTTATTTGAAATAAAATGAGTTCTGGAAAGTTTCAGACCAGGGGACCAGTTTTGCCTTAGGGCAAAAAGAAGACAGCGTGCAATAAGAAAGTGAGGAATGATGGGGAGACTTTCTTTTAGGTCCTGCCAGTAGGAATCCAAAATTAACCTCATGTTAGTCAGCTGTTACCAGGAGGTAACTAGCTCTCCTTCATAGTTACTCAGTTATTGGAACCGAAAATGCTGGATGGGAGAACCATTTACACCCCAAACATCACACTTGCCTTTCTCCTGACCCTTGGTCTCCCGGGTCCTACCTGCTCCTCCTCCACTTGTAACTGGTCATGACCCTTCACCTTTGCTTTAAATTGAGGGGATGATACAGAGGGCCTTGGTGGCCCTCCCGTCAGGGTCACCACACTGGATTTCTCCAGCAAGGACCGACATCCTTGATCCATTTATTAGCTTGGTGACTTTGGGCTATTACTGCCCTCTTTAAACCTCAGTTTCCTCATCTCTAAAATGGAGATCCTTCTAGTAGCTGCCTTATGGGTTGTTGTGAAGCAGAAAGTGATAAAAGGGCTTAGCACAGCACCTCACACATGGGTTGTGCTCAGTAAATGTTACCTGTTAGCACCATCATCACCATCACCATCATCATCGTCACTGCCACCACCTCAGGATGTGACTTTACTGTAACCTTGAGGTGCCAAATAATTAACATGCATGGATTTTCTCATTGATGCCAAGACCCAGACTGTCCCTATCTCATTGCCATTCTCCTCCCTCCTCCCCCATACACACATGCCCTCGTTTGTGGCAAGTCTCAGCAACTACGGAAGTGGAAAGCTCTCCCAGAATGTCGCAGTGAGACCCTGGTACAGCGGTCAGGTGCTGTAATGTGCTGTGTCATGGTCAAATCCAACAGCCAGTTCTGAAAGGATGCTTGGCTGCGCACATGTCCCTGTGATAGGCAATAAAGTGGACATTGTTTTTACTAATCACAAGGTAGTTTCATTTTTAACTGAAAAAAAAAAATTCCCTACCAATTCTCCTCCCCCCACT